ATGAAAACAGACTGGTTGGAGAATGCGGGCATCGATCCCGATACCGCTCGCATGCTAAGCGAGCGTATTGCAGAATTTGGGGCAGGTATAGAGTGGATCAAAAAGTCTGCGGGTCGAGTCCCATAGTGAACATGTTTCACTATTTACTAATAACAACTTCATTCTCCAAAAGTGATTATATTGTCAAAATATACAAAAGTGAATTTAAGCTAGATGGAGATAAAAAGCAACCAATAGAGGCCAATGATAATGGAAACAGACTAGTTGGAGATTGCAGGCATCGATCCCGAAAACATTCACATGCTAAGTGAGCGTATTGCAGAATTTGGGGCAGGTATAGAGTGGATCAAAAAGTCTGCGGGTCGAGTCCCATAGTGAACATGTTTCACTATTTACTAATAACAACTTCATTCTCCAAAAGTGATTATATTGTCAAAATATAAGAATTTAAGCTAGATGGAGATAAAAAGCAACCAATAGAGGCCAATGAAAACAGACTAGTTGGAGAATGCAGGCATCGATCCCGATACCGCTCACATGCTAAGTGAGCGTATTGCAGAATTTGGGGCAGGTATAGAGTGGATCAAAAAGTCTGCGGGTCGAGTCCCATAGTGAACATGTTTCACTATTTACTAATAACAACTTCATTCTCCAAAAGTGATTATATTGTCAAAATATAAGAATTTAAGCTAGATGGAGATAAAAAGCAACCAATAGAGGCCATTGATACAACTGAAAAAGACTGTTTGGAGAATGCGGGCATCGATCCCGCTACCTCTCGCATGCTAAGCGAGCGCTCTACCATTTGAGCCAATTCCCCCTATTCCAGCAAGCAAGCTTGAGGTTTGGTGAAACAGAAGAAGACTGGAGAAAGAAAAGGGAAGACTTGAGCTTCAACATTCATAACTCTATAACAGATATAGAGTGGATCAAAAAGTCTGCGGGTCGAGTACCATAGTGAACATGTTTTACGATTTACTAATAACAACTTCATTCTTCAAAAGTGATTATATTGTCAAAATATACGAATTTAAGCTAGATGGAGATAAAAAGCAACCAATAGAGGCCAATGAAAACAGACTGGTTGGAGAATGCGGGCATCGATCCCGATACCGCTCATGCATGCTAAGCGAGCGTATTGCAGAATTTGGGGCAGGTATAGAGTGGATCAAAAAGTCTGCGGGTCGAGTCCCATAGTGAACATGTTTCACTATTTACTAATAACAACTTCATTCTCCAAAAGTGATTATATTGTCAAAATATAAGAATTTAAGCTAGATGGAGATAAAAAGCAACCAATAGAGGCCAATGATAAAACAGACTGGTTGGAGAATGCAGGCATCGATCCCGATACCGCTCACATGCTAAGTGAGCGTATTGCAGAATTTGGGGCAGGTATAGAGTGGATCAAAAAGTCTGCGGGTCGAGTCCCATAGTGAACATGTTTCACTATTTACTAATAACAACTTCATTCTCCAAAAGTGATTATATTGTCAAAATATAAGAATTTAAGCTAGATGGAGATAAAAAGCAACCAATAGAGGCCAATGATACAACTGGAAACAGACTAGTTGGAGATTGCAGGCATCGATCCCGATACCGCTCGCATGCTAAGTGATTTGAGCCAATTGCAGAATTTGGGGCAGGTATAGAGTGGATCAAAAAGTCTGCGGGTCGAGTCCCATAGTGAACATGTTTCAAGATTTACTTATTAATAACAACAGATATAAAGTGGATCAAAAAGTCTGCGGGTCGAGTACCATAGTGAACATGTTTACTATTTACTAATAACAACTTCATTCTTCAAAAGTGATTATATTGTCAAAATATAAGAATTTAAGCTAGATGGAGATAAAAAGCAACCAATAGAGGCCAATGAAAACAGACTGGTTGGAGAATGCGGGCATCGATCCCGATACCGCTCGCATGCTAAGCGAGCGCGTATTGCAGAATTTGGGCAGTATGCATGCCATTTGAGGTATTGCAGAATTCCATTTGTCAAAGGGCAGGTATAGAGTGGATCAAAAAGTAGTGACAACATGTTTCACATTTATAGAGTGGATCAAAAATGAACATGTTTCACTATTTACTAATAACAACTTCATTCCAAAAGTGATTATATTGTCAAAATATAAGAATTTAAGCTAGATGGAGATAAAAAGCAACCAATAGAGGCCAATGATAAACTGGAAACAGACTAGTTGGAGATGCAGGCATCGAAAAACATTACCGCTCACATGCTAAGAGCCAATGAATTGCAGAATTTGGGGAGGTATAGAGTGGATCAAAAAGTCTGCGGGTCGAGTCCCATAGAACATGTTTCACTATTTACTAATAACAACTTCATTCTTCAAAAGTGATTATATTGTCAAAATATAAAGATGGAGAAAAAAAAAGGCCAATAGAGGCCAATGAAAACAGACTGGTTGGAGAATGCAGGCATCGATCCCGATACCGCTCGCATGCTAAGTGAGCGTATTGCAGAATTTGGGGCAGGTATAGAGTGGATCAAAAAGTCTGCGGGTCGAGTCCCATAGTGAACATGTTTCACTATTTACTAATAACAACTTCATTCTCCAAAAGTGATTATATTGTCAAAATATAAGAATTTAAGCTAGATGGAGATAAAAAGCAACCAATAGAGGCCATTGATACAACTGAAAAAGACTGTTTGGAGAATGCGGGCATCGATCCCGCTACCTCTCGCATGCTAAGCGAGCGCTCTACCATTTGAGCCAATTCCCCTATTCCAGCAAGCAAGCTTGAGGTTTGGTGAAACAGAAGAAGACTGGAGAAAGAAAAGGAAGACTTGAGCTTCAACATTCATAACTCTATAACAGATATAGAGTGGATCAAAAAGTCTGCGGGTCGAGTACCATAGTGAACATGTTTTACGATTTACTAATAACAACTTCATTCTTCAAAAGTGATTATATTGTCAAAATATACGAATTTAAGCTAGATGGAGATAAAAAAAAATAGAGGCCAATGAAAACAGAGAGGCCAATGATATACCGCTCCAAAACAGACTAGTTGGAGAATGCAGGCATCGATCCCGATACCGCTTAACATGCTAAGCGGGAGCGTATTGCAGAATTTGGGGCAGGTATAGAGTGGATCAAAAAGTCTGCGGGTCGAGTCCCATAGTGAACATGTTTCACTATTTACTAATAACAACTTCATTCTCCAAAAGTGATTATATTGTCAAAATATAAGAATTTAAGCTAGATGGAGATAAAAAGCAACCAATAGAGGCCAATGAAAACAGACTGGTTGGAGAATGCAGGCATCGATCCCGATACCGCTCACATGCTAAGTGAGCGTATTGCAGAATTTGGGGCAGGTATAGAGTGGATCAAAAAGTCTGCGGGTCGAGTCCCATAGTGAACATGTTTCACTATTTACTAATAACAACTTCATTCTCCAAAAGTGATTATATTGTCAAAATATAAGAATTTAAGCTAGATGGAGATAAAAAGCAACCAATAGAGGCCAATGATACCAAAACAGACTGGTTGGAGAATGCAGGCATCGATCCCGATACCTCTCGCACATGCTAAGTGAGCGTATTGCAGAATTTGGGGCAGGTATAGAGTGGATCAAAAAGTCTGCGGGTCGAGTCCCATAGTGAACATGTTTCACTATTTACTAATAACAACTTCATTCTCCAAAAGTGATTATATTGTCAAAATATAAGAATTTAAGCTAGATGGAGATAAAAAGCAACCAATAGAGGCCAATGATAATGAAAACAGACTGGTTGGAGAATGCGGGCATCGATCCCGATACCGCTCGCATGCTAAGCGAGCGTATTCAGAATTTGGGGCAGGTATAGAGTGGATCAAAAAGTCTGCGGGTCGAGTCCCATAGTGAACATGTTTCACTATTTACTAATAACAACTTCATTCTCCAAAAGTGATTATATTGTCAAAATATAAGAATTTAAGCTAGATGGAGATAAAAAGCAACCAATAGAGGCCAATGAAAACAGACTGGTTGGAGAATGCGGGCATCGATCCCGATACCGCTCGCATGCTAAGTGAGCGTATTGCAGAATTTGGGGCAGGTATAGAGTGGATCAAAAAGTCTGCGGGTCGAGTCCCATAGTGAACATGTTTCACTATTTACTAATAACAACTTCATTCTCCAAAAGTGATTATATTGTCAAAATATAAGAATTTAAGCTAGATGGAGATAAAAAGCAACCAATAGAGGCCAATGAAAACAGACTGGTTGGAGAATGCGGGCATCGATCCCGATACCGCTCGCATGCTAAGTGAGCGTATTGCAGAATTTACATGCTGAGCGTATTGCAGAATTTGGGGCAGATAGAGTGGATCAAAAAGTCTGCGGGTCGAGTCCCATAGTGAACATGTTTCACTATTTACTAATAACAACTTCATTCTCCAAAAGTGATTATATTGTCTAGATGGAGATAAAAAAAATATAAGAATTTAAGCTAGATGGAGATAAAAAGCAACCAATAGAGGCCAATGATACCACTGGAAACAGACTAGTTGGAGATTGCAGGCATCGATCCCGATACCGCTCACATGCTAAGTGAGCGTATTGCAGAATTTGGGGCAGGTATAGAGTGGATCAAAAAGTCTGCGGGTCGAGTCCCATAGTGAACATGTTTCACTATTTACTAATAACAACTTCATTCTTCAAAAGTGATTATATTGTCAAAATATAAGAATTTAAGCTAGATGGAGATAAAAAGCAACCAATAGAGGCCAATGAAAACAGACTGGTTGGAGAATGCAGGCATCGATCCCGATACCGCTCGCATGCTAAGTGAGCGTATTGCAGAATTTGGGGCAGGTATAGAGTGGATCAAAAAGTCTGCGGGTCGAGTCCCATAGTGAACATGTTTCACTATTTACTAATAACAACTTCATTCTCCAAAAGTGATTATATTGTCAAAATATAAGAATTTAAGCTAGATGGAGATAAAAAGCAACCAATAGAGGCCATTGATACAACTGAAAAAGACTGTTTGGAGAATGCGGGCATCGATCCCGCTACCTCTCGCATGCTAAGCGAGCGCGCTCTACCATTTGAGCCAATTCCCCTATTCCAGCAAGCAAGCTTGAGGTTTGGTGAAACAGAAGAAGACTGGAGAAAGAAAAGGGAAGACTTGAGCTTCAACATTCATAACTCTATAACAGATATAGAGTGGATCAAAAAGTCTGCGGGTCGAGTACCATAGTGAACATGTTTTACGATTTACTAATAACAACTTCATTCTTCAAAAGTGATTATATTGTCAAAATATACGAATTTAAGCTAGATGGAGATAAAAAGCAACCAATAGAGGCCAATGAAAACAGACTGGTTGGAGAATGCAGGCATCGATCCCGATACCGCTCGCATGCTAAGCGAGCGTATTGCAGAATTTGGGGCAGGTATAGAGTGGATCAAAAAGTCTGCGGGTCGAGTCCCATAGTGAACATGTTTCACTATTTACTAATAACAACTTCATTCTCCAAAAGTGATTATATTGTCAAAATATAAGAATTTAAGCTAGATGGAGATAAAAAGCAACCAATAGAGGCCAATGAAAACAGACTGGTTGGAGAAAACAGACTAGTTGGAGATTGCAGGCATCGATCCCATAGTGAACCGATCAAAACCGCTCACATGCTAAGTGAGCGTATTGCAGAATTTGGGGCAGGTATAGAGTGGATCAAAAAGTCTGCGGGTCGAGTCCCATAGTGAACATGTTTCACTATTTACTAATAACAACTTCATTCTCCAAAAGTGATTATATTGTCAAAATATAGAATTTAAGCTAGATGGAGATAAAAAGCAACCAATAGAGGCCAATGAAAACAGACTGGTTGGAGAATGCAGGCATCGATCCCGATACCGCTCACATGCTAAGTGAGCGTATTGCAGAATTTGGGGCAGGTATAGAGTGGATCAAAAAGTCTGCGGGTCGAGTCCCATAGTGAACATGTTTCACTATTTACTAATAACAACTTCATTCTCCAAAAGTGATTATATTGTCAAAATATAAGAATTTAAGCTAGATGGAGATAAAAAGCAACCAATAGAGGCCAATGACTGGAAACAGACTGGTTGGAGAATGCAGGCATCGATCCATTCGATACCGCTCACATGCTAAGTGAGCGTATTGCAGAATTTGGGGCAGGTATAGAGTGGATCAAAAAGTCTGCGGGTCGAGTCCCATAGTGAACATGTTTCACTATTTACTAATAACAACTTCATTCTCCAAAAGTGATTATATTGTCAAAATATAAGAATTTAAGCTAGATGGAGATAAAAAGCAACCAATAGAGGCCATTGATACAACTGAAAAATGACTGTTTGGAGAATGCGGGCATCGATCCCGCTACCTCTCGCATGCTAAGCGAGCGCTCTACCATTTGAGCCAATTCCCCCTATTCCAGCAAGCAAGCTTGAGGTTTGGTGAAACAGAAGAAGACTGGAGAAAGAAAAGGGAAGACTTGAGCTTCAACATTCATAACTCTATAACAGATATAGAGTGGATCAAAAAGTCTGCGGGTCGAGTACCATAGTGAACATGTTTTACGATTTACTAATAACAACTTCATTCTTCAAAAGTGATTATATTGTCAAAATATACGAATTTAAGCTAGATGGAGATAAAAAGCAACCAATAGAGGCCAATGAAAACAGACTGGTTGGAGAATGCGGGCATCGATCCCGATACCGCTCGCATGCTAAGCGAGCGTATTGCAGAATTTGGGGCAGGTATAGAGTGGATCAAAAAGTCTGCGGGTCGAGTCCCATAGTGAACATGTTTCACTATTTACTAATAACAACTTCATTCTCCAAAAGTGATTATATTGTCAAAATATAAGAATTTAAGCTAGATGGAGATAAAAAGCAACCAATAGAGGCCAATGAAAACAGACTGCGGGCATCGTTGGAGAAGAATTTGCAGGCATCGATCCCGATACCGCTCACATGCTAAGAAGACTGGAGATGAGCGTATTGCAGAATTTGGGGCAGGTATAGAGTGGATCAAAAAGTCTGCGGGTCGAGTCCCATAGTGAACATGTTTCACTATTTACTAATAACAACTTCATTCTTCAAAAGTGATTATATTGTCAAAATATAAGAATTTAAGCTAGATGGAGATAAAAAGCAACCAATAGAGGCCAATGAAAACAGACTGGTTGGAGAATGCGGGCATCGATCCCGATACCGCTCGCATGCTAAGTGAGCGTATTGCAGAATTTGGGGCAGGTATAGAGTGGATCAAAAAGTCTGCGGGTCGAGTCCCATAGTGAACATGTTTCACTATTTACTAATAACAACTTCATTCTCCAAAAGTGATTATATTGTCAAAATATAAGAATTTAAGCTAGATGGAGATAAAAAGCAACCAATAGAGGCCAATGATACCACTGGAAACAGACTAGTTGGAGATTGCAGGCATCGATCCCGATACCGCTCACATGCTAAGTGAGCGTATTGCAGAATTTGGGGCAGGTATAGAGTGGATCAAAAAGTCTGCGGGTCGAGTCCCATAGTGAACATGTTTCACTATTTACTAATAACAACTTCATTCTCCAAAAGTGATTATATTGTCAAAATATAAGAATTTAAGCTAGATGGAGATAAAAAGCAACCAATAGAGGCCAATGAAAACAGACTGGTTGGAGAATGCAGGCATCGATCCCGATACCGCTCACATGCTAAGTGAGCGTATTGCAGAATTTGGGGCAGGTATAGAGTGGATCAAAAAGTCTGCGGGTCGAGTCCCATAGTGAACATGTTTCACTATTTACTAATAACAACTTCATTCTCCAAAAGTGATTATATTGTCAAAATATAAGAATTTAAGCTAGATGGAGATAAAAAGCAACCAATAGAGGCCATTGATACAACTGAAAAAAGACTGTTTGGAGAATGCGGGCATCGATCCCGCTACCTCTCGCATGCTAAGCGAGCGCTCTACCATTTGAGCCAATTCCCCCTATTCCTGCAAGCAAGCTTGAGGTTGTGGTGAAACAGAAGAAGACTGGAGAAAGAAAAGGGAAGACTTGAGCTTCAACATTCATAACTCTATAACAGATATAGAGTGGATCAAAAAGTCTGCGGGTCGAGTACCATAGTGAACATGTTTTACGATTTACTAATAACAACTTCATTCTTCAAAAGTGATTATATTGTCAAAATATACGAATTTAAGCTAGATGGAGATAAAAAGCAACCAATAGAGGCCAATGAAAACAGACTGGTTGGAGAATGCGGGCATCGATCCCGATACCGCTCGCATGCTAAGCGAGCGTATTGCAGAATTTGGGGCAGGTATAGAGTGGATCAAAAAGTCTGCGGGTCGAGTCCCATAGTGAACATGTTTCACTATTTACTAATAACAACTTCATTCTCCAAAAGTGATTATATTGTCAAAATATAAGAATTTAAGCTAGATGGAGATAAAAAGCAACCAATAGAGGCCAATGAAAACAGACTGGTTGGAGAATGCGGGCATCGATCCCGATACCGCTCGCATGCTAAGCGAGCGTATTGCAGAATTTGGGGCAGGTATAGAGTGGATCAAAAAGTCTGCGGGTCGAGTCCCATAGTGAACATGTTTCACTATTTACTAATAACAACTTCATTCTCCAAAAGTGATTATATTGTCAAAATATAAAATTTAAGCTAGTGGATGGAGATAGTGAAAACTATTTACTAATAACAACTTCATTCCAAAAGTGATATTGTCAAAATATAAGAATTTAAGCTAGATGGAGATAAAAAGCAACCAATAGAGGCCAATGAAAACAGACTGGTTGGAGAATGCGGGCATCGATCCCGATACCGCTCACATGCTAAGTGAGCGTATTGCAGAATTTGGGGCAGGTATAGAGTGGATCAAAAAGTCTGCGGGTCGAGTCCCATAGTGAACATGTTTCACTATTTACTAATAACAACTTCATTCTTCAAAAGTGATTATATTGTCAAAATATAAGAATTTAAGCTAGATGGAGATAAAAAGCAACCAATAGAGGCCAATGAAAACAGACTGGTTGGAGAATGCGGGCATCGATCCCGATACCGCTCGCATGCTAAGCGAGCGTATTGCAGAATTTGGGGCAGGTATAGAGTGGATCAAAAAGTCTGCGGGTCGAGTCCCATAGTGAACATGTTTCACTATTTACTAATAACAACTTCATTCTCCAAAAGTGATTATATTGTCAAAATAAAGAATTTAAGCTAGATGGAGATAAAAAGCAACCAATAGAGGATGAAAACAGACTGGTTGGAGAAAAAATGCGGGCATCGATAACACCGCTCACATGCTAATGCTGAGTATTGCAGAATTTGGGGCAGGTATAGAGTGGATCAAAAAGTCTGCGGGTCGAGTCCCATAGTGAACATGTTTCACTATTTACTAATAACAACTTCATTCTTCAAAAGTGATTATATTGTCAAAATATAAGAATTTAAGCTAGATGGAGATAAAAAGCAACCAATAGAGGCCAAATGAAAACAGACTGGTTGGAGAATGCGGGCATCGATCCCGATACCGCTCGCATGCTAAGCGAGCGTATTGCAGAATTTGGGGCAGGTATAGAGTGGATCAAAAAGTCTGCGGGTCGAGTCCCATAGTGAACATGTTTCACTATTTACTAATAACAACTTCATTCTCCAAAAGTGATTATATTGTCAAAATATAAGAATTTAAGCTAGATGGAGATAAAAAGCAACCAATAGAGGCCATTGATACAACTGAAAAAGACTGTTTGGAGAATGCGGGCATCGATCCCGCTACCTCTCGCATGCTAAGCGAGCGCTCTACCATTTGAGCCAATTCCCCCTATTCCAGCAAGCAAGCTTGAGGTGTGGTGAAACAGAAGAAGACTGGAGAAAGAAAAGGGAAGACTTGAGCTTCAACATTCATAACTCTATAACAGATATAGAGTGGATCAAAAAGTCTGCGGGTCGAGTACCATAGTGAACATGTTTTACGATTTACTAATAACAACTTCATTCTTCAAAAGTGATTATATTGTCAAAATATACGAATTTAAGCTAGATGGAGATAAAAAGCAACCAATAGAGGCCAATGAAA